TAGGTCTAGTTCCCATATATCACCGTACATAGTTATTACAGTATTATTGACTATCTTCCCAGCTACACTTCATATCCCCATGACTTATTTATATTATTACTAGAAGTTTGTACCTCTTAATCCCCTTCACCTATTTCATCCATCCTCCCACTCTTCCCTCTGACAACCACCAGTTCTCTATATTTGTGAGATTTATGACTGTGTTTTTGTTTTATTTCTTAGATCCTATATTAAAGATTTTTTAAATTATTTGAAGAAATTTGGGCAAAATGAAAATGATCAAAGAAGAGATGAAAGGATATTTATGACAAATTATCAATAGTTATTGAAAACCAATAAAAGACTAGATAAGATGGTGAAATTAAAAATGAGTGTGCTCATGACCTCTTGTCCCTGGTGTTCTGTCACTGGGTTAGTATAAATCCGAGGCTCTGAAGCATCTCAGTAAATGAGAGCAGCATGCATTGACCCATTTGGTTTATAGTGATTCTCTCCAATTTGTGATTTCAATGAAAAATCATTTAAATATGGCTTTGGACTGCACTGGTATTTTCCATGTCATAATCAGAGCAGAAACTAAAAGTTACAAACCCCCGAAGAGGTGCCTGCATTAACTCCTGATAGGATATGTCCATTTTTAGGCTTTGATTATTGCAGTTAATTTTCCATTCCGATGGACTAATGAACATTTGGTATATTGATATTGGTGTTTGGACTGGTTCTGCAAAGCGTATTTTGAGTTAAGTATTGTAGTTCTTCCTCCCATACTATGCAAAGGCTAAAGAGACTTAAATTTTCAGGTGCTACTTAACCAGCACTGTTCTAATTAGAAATCATACTACCTCCTAAGGAGTTGGTAGTGATTATAAAACCATGCGTTATTTTCTTAAGAAGATAAAGGAACCCAAGACAATTGGAGGTGGATCATTTCCTGAGTATGGCTGCATCTTTGTCCCCTTCACAGTCCCCAGTGTAATCCTTTAAATTGCTCAAAGAATTCTACTTCCCTGGTGCCCCCTGGCCCCACGGACTCCCAGCCTCTTCCATTATGGCTTTCCTGCTTCCTCTTTTACATTTCATTCACTCCAGAAATGCTCGGGGTGCCAATATAAAGGATACAGAGTGTAGCAGTGAAGAAAACTGCAAATAGTCCAGTTTAAAAAGACAATCTCTCATCCTAAAAAGAAAACAACCTTGATCCCACATCTCCCTCCACAGCTACCTTATTTCTCTGCTCCCCTTTTCACCAAAACTCTTGAAATACTTGTTCTCATTCAGTGCCTCTATTTCCTTTCTTCTCATTCTTTCTTAAAACCACCACATTCAGCCTTCGATCTCCACCTGGCACCAAACGGATCTTGTGAAGGTCATTGGTGTCTTCCACATTACTCAGCCCAATAGTCAAGTCCTCATAGCCCACTGCCTGTCAGCAGCACTTAAACAGCTGATCACTCTTACTTCATACACTTCTTCACCTGGTCTTGGGATGGAATTCTCTCTCATCATTCTCCTCCACCTGAATAGCTGTTTTTCTCTGCCTTGCTGGTTCCTCCTTTTCTTCCTGATCTTTGATTAGTGAAGACCTCCAGGAGCCAGCTCTCAGACTTGTTCAATCTATAATTGCTCCCCAGGTCATCTCACCCAGCTATTCAAAAGATTATGATCCACATGGTGTTACGAAACACACTTCAAGATATATTTTTAAGTGAAAAAAGATCAAAGGTGGCAAGCTGGATGTGTGCAGGAATTTGGAGTGACTGACAACACAGGGATACAAAACTTAACTCCTATTCTGAAAGGCTTGGGTACAAAATAAACCAGGAAGACACATTAAAGAGCTGACAATGTAGCCCCAACCAGTAATGTTTTTGCTAATTTAACTGGAGGCAGTTAAAAAGATGAATCAGACATGCATCCCATCCTCCAGAAATATATAGTTAGCTGGGGGGAGGGGGGTGAAAAATAAATAGGGACAAAATAAGGAAGAAAATGGTGTCACCAGAGAAATGAGAATTAGGATGTATCAGAGCTCAGAAATAGAGCAGCTTTTAAAAGCTTGATGAAGCTGAATTATTTGATTTTTTTTTACTTCATGTTTTTAAAATAACATTTCCTAATTTCCCCTATTATCAAACTAAAATTTCTAAAGTTTTCTGTCTCTTATCCATGCTACTCTCTATATTCTCAATCTTCCAATCAGAGTGGAAAAGCTTTTTTATTTAGAACTATTCTTCTCGGGTGCCTAGGTAGCTCAGCTGGCTAAGCATCTGACTCTTGATCTCAGCTCAGGTCTTGATCTGTGAGTTCCAGTCCCACGTTGGGCTCCACAATGGACTCCACACTGGGTATGGAGCCTACTTTAAAAAAGACAAAAAAGAAAAAAAAAAGAACTACTCTTCCAACAAACCTCAAGAACCCAAGAAAAACATAACTTAGGATTAATGTTTGTAGGGAAAAAAAAGAATTTTATTTCATGTAATTAAGGAGAAAGGGGTCAAAATAGAGAAATAAACATGTTGGCCACAGGGAGAAATGTAGAGAAGTTGCCCCAAGCTGATAGATGGCTCAGGCGCAACCTAGGTCTCTAATTCCAAAGCCCACACACTTTCAATGTTACAGCCTGTCTCAGATATAAATGCAAGTTTAAATTGACTATAAAAGAAGCAAAAATAACCAGGGGAGAAGAAACATTTAATTTACAAGAAAGAATGTATTGTTGGTCGAGTAAGTCCCCTAGAAGAAGTAGGGAAACAGGAATTTCGAGAGGGTACATCTATAGAAATGCAATAAAAGCACAATGAAAACAGAGAGGCAAAATGATTCTCATTTCACTGCAGAAAGATAAAGACTGTTTTAAAAACAATTTAAAATTAATAAACCCATTTGGTCTTTAGTGAAATAATTTTCTTTTACTTTCTATATCTAAAGAATAAATGGTAACCATCTCCCAGTCTTCTTGATTTTTGCCCAATGGGCAGAAGAAATTAAATCCAGAGCTAGAGAGATCTCACCCTGGCTGGAGATTTTTATTCCTGCCCCCTGACTTCCAGTCCCCAGTCCACCCAAAGACTCTCACCCACTCCATTCTCCCTTTCATACATGCCTCACTTGCTGCTGCCCTCATTAAAGAATGTCTGTTAAGCCTAATCCACATCAATCTCTGTCCCTTATAACTGCCAAAATGCCAGTTGTCTTTGAAGTTTTCCTGGACCTAATCCAACAGAGACAAATCAGAGGATTTGATCGATGTTCTGACCAGCAGCCATTGGTTGTGAATATTCGTATGTGGATTTTGATTGTCTTGTTTTCATGAATATATATTCACATTTGAGTTTACAGTAGTCCCCCCCCTTAACCATAGGAGATGCATTCCAAGACTGAAAACCTGAAACCACAGATAGTACCGAACCCTATATGTACTATGTTTTTTCCTATACTTATAAATCTATGATAAAGTTTATCAGTTAGGTACAATAAAAGATTTTTAAAAACTAATTAAAAAAAAGAACAATTATAACAGTATACTATAGGGGTGCCTGGGTGGCTCAGTCGGTTAAGCGTCTGCCTTGGGCTCAGGTCTTGATCCCAGGGTCCTGGGATCAAGCCCAGAGTCAGGCTCCCTGCTCAGCAGAGGAGTCTGCTTCTGCCTCTCCCACTGCCCCTCCCACCCCCACTCATGCTCAGTCTCTTGCTTTTTCTCTCCCAAATAAATAAATATCTTTAAAAAAAAAAACAGTATACTATAATAAACATTAGGTGAATGGGGTCTCTCAAAATATCTCATTGTGCTGTACTCACCTTTCTTGTGATGATGTGAGATGATAAAATGTTTATGTGATGAGATGAAGTGAGGTGAATGATGCAGGTTTTGTGACTATTGACCTTCTGCAGATTCGTCAGAAAGAGGATCATCGGCTTGCAGACCATGGTAACTGAAAGTGTGGAAAACGACACTACAGATAAGGGGGACTGTTGTATCTTTTTTTTTAATTCCTTACAACTATGCATTCAATAAATGTCACTATCTCACTGATTGCCCAGTTTAATCACAGCTATCCAGAAGACAGACAGATCATAGATGGTAGGTAGGTAGGTAGATAGAAAGATAGATGATAGATGATAGATAGATAGATAGATAGATAGATAGATAGATAGATAGACAGATAGACAGATAGACAGATAGATGATAGATGATAAAGATAGATAGAAATTGAAAGAATACAAATGTTAACAAAAACTAAACACATTTTTTTTTAATGTGGAGTTCTTTGAGCTTGGTTATGATGCTGCTTCACAGTCAGTTTACTGTATTACTCTGAGAACAATTCACCATAAACATCAAAGTAATGTTATATGCTTTTTTTCCTCTCTTTTCTCCAAAGAAATGCACAGTGGGATATGTAAAATGTCAGAAATAATTAGACAAAAATCATACAATTTCATTGTGACACTAAAATATCTTTGGAGTTGAGCATTTGCTATGAAACTTTAAAACTGCTTTGAAGTCTGCTTATTATAAACAATATAATATTTTTCTTTAATGTCCCAGAATTTCTAAAGTATGATACAAGGTGAATATATGTTTCAAAATAAAGAATAATTTATGTATAAATGTATAGATATTAATAAATATAAATAAGAAAGTAATTCAGGTGGCAAGATAGACTTTAAAGTTGGTAATGTTTTCATGAGAAAGAGTTGGGGAGCTTAACTTTTTAAAAAATTTTTGGTAGCTACACTTGTAGTTAGCACAGCATAAGGATTTGTGAGTCACTATGTTGTATACCTGAAATTAATGTAACATTGTGTGTCAACTATACATCAATTTTTAAAAAGTATCTTTTGAAGAATCATGTAAAAGTGAACGTTGTACCCAGAGATAAAAAAGAAAATTATATCGAAAATGTGCAAAGAATTTCTGAGTGCTGAAATACGGTAACATTTTCTAGGGGGAAAAATATGACTTTTCATTCATTAACCAGTAGCATACTATCTTCCAGGAACCCTCAGAAGAAAAGCTGTGGTGCTTCCTTTTACCCATACAAAATGGAACATAAGAAACTACATAGCTGAAGAAACTACAGTCTTCTTATAAGTGAGAGGCATTGAAGTCTAAGTAATTTCCTGCTGAGGGAAAATAACCAGCAGCTTTTCCACAGTGTAGATTGAAACAGGGAAGACATGAATATCACTAACTGTACCACAGAAGCCAGTGTGGCTGCAAGACCCAAGACCATCACTGAGAAGATGCTCATTTCCATGACTCTGGTGATCATCACCACCCTGACCATGTTGCTGAACTTGGCCGTGATCATGGCTATCTGTACCACCAAGAAGCTCCACCAGCCTGCCAACTACCTGATCTGTTCCCTGGCTGTGACAGATCTCCTGGTGGCAGTGCTCGTCATGCCACTGAGCATCATGTATATTGTCATGGACAGCTGGAAACTAGGGTACTTTATCTGCGAGGTGTGGCTGAGTGTGGACATGACCTGCTGCACCTGCTCCATCCTCCATCTCTGTGTGATTGCCCTAGACAGGTACTGGGCCATCACCAATGCTATTGAATATGCCAGGAAGAGGACCGCCAAGAGGGCTGGGCTGATGATCCTCACCGTCTGGACCATCTCCATCTTCATCTCCATGCCCCCTCTGTTCTGGAGGAGCCACCGCCAACTCAGCCCACCTCCTAGTCAGTGCACTATCCAGCATGACCATGTCATCTACACCATTTACTCCACACTTGGGGCATTTTATATCCCCTTGACTTTGATACTTATTCTGTATTACCGGATTTACCATGCAGCCAAGAGCCTTTATCAGAAAAGAGGATCTAGCCGGCACTTGAGCAACAGAAGCACGGATAGCCAAAATTCTTTTGCGAGTTGTAAACTTACACAAACTTTCTGTGTGTCTGATTTCTCCACCTCAGACCCTACCACAGAGTTTGAAAAGATCCACTCCTCTATCAGGATCCCTTCCTTCTATAATGATCTAGATCACCCAGGAGAACGTCAGCAAATCTCTAGTACCAGGGAACGTAAGGCAGCACGCATCCTAGGACTGATTTTGGGGGCATTCATTTTGTCGTGGCTGCCATTTTTCATCAAAGAGTTGATTGTTGGTCTGAGCATCTATGCGGTGTCCTCTGAAGTGGCTGATTTTTTGACGTGGCTTGGTTATGTTAATTCTCTGATCAACCCTCTGCTCTACACAAGTTTTAATGAAGACTTTAAGCTGGCTTTTAAAAAGCTAATTAAGTGCCGAGAACATACATAGATTGCAAAAAGCCAAAAGGCATTGTTTTTACCAGCCTTGTGAGTGGACAGAGGAAAGGGGTTCAACTTATTAATTCTTGAACATAGTTGGTTCAGAAAAGTTTGTAAGGTAGTGTGGTCTTTTTGTTTGTTCACTTGTTCCGTTTTGTTTGAGGTTTGTTTTCTAGTGTGCCGTTTTCTACCTCTGGTTTTATTTGTGGTACATGATTTCAAATAAACATCCGACAAAGACAGAAATTTCATAGACGTAATAATAAGGTGAAATAGTAACTACTTTTTTTAGCCATTCAGTTAATCCTGCAATTAAAGAATGCCAAAATAAATCTTCACTTGCAGAAGTTCTTATTACTTATAAATCAAATACCTGATAACTTGCCCTCTTGTGGCATTAAATCTGAGGTCATGGCTCCATATGCGTGCAAATTTTAGTGGGAATTGCATGACTACATAAAGCATTAATAAAAAAAAAAAGTGGTATACTGTCATCTGCTTGCAGACCTGAGCTAAAATCATTTACTGTGACTACATAGGCCACTCCCTTTAGGCACAAATAGTACAGCTATTATAGTTCATGATTAAATATGCTTCCTCATTCTCTAAAAAGAACCTGGAATGAATACTCCGGCACTTTCGTAGGTCTTTGACTATGAATATGAAACATAAACAAATTCAAGATAATCTAAATCTCCTTTGGTCCACATGTTGTATTACCTGACAGGCACATTGGACGTCTTGCCATTCTGAGAAGTGTCCCACTGAGCCTTGCACACACTCCCTCACTTAGAAGGATTCAGGTGGGAGTACAAGCAGCTTAACAGGGTAGAGTGATCAAATGAAGGAATATATTATCTGAAGAACTTTGTTGGAGAATGTTACTTATTAAGTTACCAGTTGTGCACTTGGCAAAACCATTAAAAGTCGAAAATTTATGTTTACCGCAAAGGTCACCCATCGAGGAAATGAGTATGAAATTGTGTCCCCTGGGATCTCAGTGGCTTCCATGCCAGACTGCATCTTGGGGCCAGGAGGCTGCAGATGGGACCTGACCTGAGGCGACAGCACCTCACCTGACCTGGGGTGACTGCTCTAGTCACATGGAGGAGCTTACCACTAAGTCAAGAGTGATGACAGGGACGCCTGGGTGGCTCAGTTGGTTAAGCGTCTGCCTTCGGCTCAGGTCATGATCCCAGGGTCCTGGGATTGAGTCCCACATTGGGCTCCTTGCTTGGTGGGGAGCCTGCTTCTCCCCCAGCCTGCCGCTCCCCCTGCTTGTGCATGCTCTCTCTCTCTGACAAATAAATAAATAAAATCTTAAAAAAAAAAAAAAAGAGTGATGACAGAAGGGAATGAAAGTCTGTAAATTCATGTACGCTCTTGAGTCAGTGACTATTTTACACCTCTTCTCCTCGTCTCATCCACAGCTTCTCCCCATCTCTTCACTCTCCCCGGGTCATTTCTCTTCTTTGTTCACTGAGAAGACATGAATTTGCTCCCTCTCCTCCATGTTTTAGCCTTAAATCTACGCCCTCTAATCTTTTCTGTAATCTTGCACGTTTCTCCTTACCCCTGACTCCTCTCCTCCACTCCCCCCCTCCTGTCTCCACCCCCTCTCTTCTCCTCCCTTCTCCCCTCCCTTTCTCCCACCCCCTTCCTCTCCCCACTATTCTTTAATCTCACCTATGAGTTTGCTCAAGTCTCTCAGACACTGGTGTACATTTCCTCTGGCCCTACTTCCCACTCAAGAGCCTGCTTCATCTCTCTCCTGGCTCTCCCACCTGAGTTTCTCCACTCATCAATCCTTCATTCTGCTCACCTCTCACCTTCCACTGACTTTCTTATCCTGTGCCATCTGAGTGTACCCCTCCTAGCTCTCCTGAAACAGATCTCCCAAAGTCTTTGGTGACTTGCCAGTAGGCAAATTTAATGGCCTTCCCTCTGTCCTTATCTACTTCCCAATCTCTCATCAGGTAGAATAGCTAAGCATCCCTTTCTTGTTTAAGCCTGTGACTTCCAAAATACATTACTCCCCTGGTTCTCCAATCACCTCCTCATTCTTTGTCTCCTTTTCTTCCTCCTGAGGCATTGTCCTCGGCTCTTACCTCCTGTATCTCCATACTCCATCCCACCCCATCACATGCCTGTGGCTTTTCAATTTGTGTCTTTAGTTCTGATCTCTGTCTTTCTCAAACTCCAGACCCATGAATTATATCCAGTGAACATCTCCCTATGAATAGCCTGTTGGTTCCTCAAACACAGCTTTTCCAAACTGAACTCATGATCATTTTTCCACACTCAAACCTTCTCCTCCTTCCCAGTCTCAGATAACAGGATTACCATGCTTTTTATCATTCCTATTAGATAAATGTGATCCTCTCATGGCTTATCTCTCACATTCAGATAGTCTTAAAGTCTTATCCATTTACCTCTACAGAAATATTTGAATATGCCCCTTTCTTCTCCAATAAGCTGGTCCCCTCACTTATTCCAAATCTTCTCATCTGATCCACTTACCTCTGGAGTCCTTCACCTGCAACTCTGCCCCCACATAACTGCACATCTATTAGATATATCTTCTAGAACAGTGGTTTTCAGAGTGGCAGCTCTGGACCAGCAGCATTAGCATCATCTGAGAAGTTGTGAAAAATGCAATGTCTAGAGCCCCACTGAAGACATACTGAATCACAAATTCAGAGAGTAAAACCTCTATTTTAATAAGCCCTCTAGGAGATTCTGGTTTGAGAATCACTATCCTCAAGCATACCACTGTTTTTTAATTATAATACTCATAATCCTCTACTATTTCCCCATCAGTTTAAAATAAATTAAGATTCCTTAGTATAATATTCAAGGCTCCTTCACTACATGACTTTAAACTACCTTTCCAGAGTTGTGTCTCACCACTTCTTCTCACCCACCTCATACTCCAGAAAGTCTGGATATTTTCTGGGTTTTCTGAGCTCCCCTAACAGTTGATCCCACTGCTTCAGATTCCACTGACTCCATGGTTTTCCATTCTTCTTCTACCAATTCTTCATGCAATCTTGCAGCACAAATGCAATCTCTTCTGTAAAGTCTTTCCGAGAGCCTTCTTTCTTCTCTATCACTGTGAAAGTCCTCTCTCCCAGCTCTAGGCTCCCATAGAACCTCATTTCTATCACTATTATTATATGCACCCTATCTTATAATGCATCTGTTTGTGTATTTCTGCTGTCTGCCCTAAAAGATTGTGAGCTCCTTGAGGGCAGGAACCATGTCTGTTTCATCTCTGTATCCCTAGGGACTCCTACCGTATTTTACATAAAGTAGGCACTCAATAAATGTCTGTTAATGTGAATGGAATTATGTCCCTGGAAGAGAAAAAGTCATTGTGCCATCTCCTCCCAGTGAGAAAACCAAACTTCTAAAATACCATGGTGAAATACTGACTTTCTTTCCCCCCAAAACTTACGTTACTACTTCCCAATCTTGTTCCAAAAACTGCTTAAAATAAAGAGCTTCCACATGGAAGAAAAAAAAAAAGGATTGCCTGCTGAATATAAATTAATATACTTTATTCAGTAGGATTCAGGCTAAGCTGCTCTCAAAGAAGGGGTCCTCCAAATATAGTAGTTCGAACAAGATAGTTTCTTTCTCCCTCACATGACAGTAAAGAGGTAGGAGGGCAGCCCAGAGTGAGTAGGAGACTCTGCTCCACAACATTATCCAGGACAAGATGGTTCTTCCTTCCTCTCAGGGCTTGTTCTCATCTGCATGGCCAAAGCTGACTAACCATTACATCCACATTCCAGTCCATAGGAAGTAAGAGAGAGAAGTAGAGAGTGGTTTCCTTTTAAGGAAGTTATGTGGATCACATAACTTCTGCTTGTACTCCATTGGCAATAATTGGTCACATGGCCACACCAAATTGTAAAAGAGAATAAGAGAGTAAATCTCTAGCTGGGCAGCCACATGCCTTGCTAAAATTGAGGACATTATAATAAAAGGAAGAAAGAGAGAATGAATACAAGGGAACAATGAACAGTCCACCTCAAAGGGATATTGGTTTCTGTATGTACAGCTCCTATATCTCAGGCAAGTCAATTTGCTACCCAGTTCCTGGTGACCTATGTATGAGGGTGTTGAGGTTTAAAATATGGGTGACTAGACTGAGATTGTGCGTACGCTGAAAATCCAGTATTTATCATGATTATATCTCTAACATCTAGAAATTATATGAGCAACTCACTTGCTTTCCCATCATCTTCCACATGTCATCATTGAAAATTCTTGGCAATTTTAAGCATTTTAAAATGTTAAGAGTCTAATTAAATAAAAAACAAAAAACAGATGCATAAGTAATTTTCACTTACTCATTTTTACTAACGCATTTACAATTTACTAGATAAGTCCTAATTAAATGCAACTCTCTCACACCTATCTTTGCCCTTAGCAAAGAAGAATCTACATCTATTTCCTAATATAAATCAAACCCATTGGGAAAAAAAAAATCTGTTGTTTGGTTTACTCATTTAACCAGCAGTGCTAGCTGGTATTGACCGCCATTGCTGCTTTCAATTAAAACTTGAGTAATGGTTCCTTCCAATATGGTTAGTTTTTCTAGTGTAAACATTGGAGGATTAAAAGTAAACCCCAGGGGTGACATTTCAAACACCCTCATTAACTAATAAATTAGGACTTCCTGATTTGTGTACCTGGTAAAAAGAATTCTTGGATATAAGTCACTCCCTTGGAGACCCCGTAGGTGTTTGGTTATAACTGGTAGCAATAAGAACCCCTATGTGCATTGCTACCACTATCTGCTTTGGATAACTGTATAGCTTCCTATACATATGAATTTCAGTTTGCAAACTCTGATACATATGTATCAGGGAAGTTCCAGAGTGAGGTTCAGCAACTGTTCTGGCTACCAGCACAAGACATCCAGTATCATGCTGGTCTGTCTACTGTGTGTTTGCTGTGTTTGCTTGGTTTTTAAGGTCTTCTATACACCACAACTTCTAACTCCATATGTACAGTGTTTGCAAATGCTGTAAGAGCATCAGAAAAATTAGTGAAAAGGAGCATATGACTACAAAGGAAAAACAAGCAAAGGCAATTTTTTAAATTAAAAGTGCTGAGAAAACAAGCATCGCATGTAAGAATGGGATCAAATCTTGCTCGGTTTTCAAGGACAACCATATGCAACACGTGAAAAAGCAGCGTGCCTAAATTATTGACTATAATCAGCAGGAAACAAGGAAAAGTGATTAATGAGATGGGAAACTGTCTGAGCACCACACAGTTCTAAAAGGTGTTTGGAAGTGTGTATGGGCATGTCTAGTTATTGCAATAGAGAACACTAATGGTATTTTGTAGTACGAGGCACAGAGGCTAAATCCTGCTTTTGAAAAAAAAAGAAAAGAAAAGAAAAGAAAAACAGTCCCACTCAAAAAAGAATTGCCACACCCAAAATACCAATATCACTACCTGCTAAGAAACTCAGGAGTACCAGCATCGACATGGGATGCTCAGAAGCCTAATGTTAATTCAGGTGTTGGCTAAGGATTATTTGAGAATTTAGAAAACTAAGCATTGCAAAAGTGCTGCTATGAACTTTTATTGCAAGCCATAGAGGGTTGCAGAGGTTCAAGGCCAATTTGAATCTGTCCAATATCAAAATGAGGGTCAGGCCAATAAATATAGACAGCACATTGGTTAGAGAGTCTCCCATGACAGTGGAAGAGATCATTGAGAAAAACGACACAATACAATGTCTATTAGCAAGGAGGAGGTATTGATGCTTCAGAGGATTGACTCAGATCCTTATTTGATGGAAAGGTTTTCAGAGGCTAAACATAGTCTCACCTAAGTCACTTCAGAGTTAGAACTGAAAGAGAATCTCAGGCACCTGTCACTAGAAGGAGAAGATATTTCCAATGGTAGGAAGGATGACATTGGATGTTCCTGGGACCCTTAAATTATCCCAGGGCCCTCCTCTCTCTCCATAAACCCCACCTTGGAGAATACACAGCAGGTTTCAGCCTTGCCACGAAAATGGTTTGAAATTATTTCCTTCAGAATAGAAGACAGTCACTAGGAGAAGAGAATTGTTTCAGAAAAGTAATCTGTCAGCTCCCTGGAAGCTCCTAGCACCTAACACAGAAGATGGTGCATGGTGGAGTTCAATTTATATAACTTGCATGTCTGTTGAATTTAATTGAAATGAACACATTGATTATAGACCTCAAGAAATTTAAAAGCAGAACTATGTTATGGTTAAGAAGGGAACGTCTTCATATGGAGTTGTCAAATATTTAATTTTTTTTTAAGGAAAGGGGGCATCAGGACAATGATGATACAAAAGAAACAGCAACAGGAGGAGTTTGGCGATAAAATCAACAGAGTTTTAGGCAATAAAAAAAAACATTAACCATCTGCTATGAGTTTGATTAGATTATAAAAGTTTTTCATTGAAAAAGAAAAAGTGGTATAAGAGCAATGAGAAGAAAGCAAGAACACAGCAATTCAAAAAGAGCAAAGTTGGGGAGATAATGTTGGTGGTGGTTTGAGGTCCACAAACACCAAGTGAGCACCTGCCATGAGTTTGGCATTGTACTAGGCACTGGGATCTCTGTAAGGAAAGAAAAGAGGGAGGGGAGGAAGAGAGCAGATAATTCGGGTGGAAAACAACTACAAGACCCAAATCTTAAGAGCAGATTTGTAGAAAGCTGATTATATTTATTTTCTATTTTGATAAAACAGCATTTCAGAGGGAGTTATAAACATTGCCTTTGCTTAAGGGGGTGGGAGAGAAAGAAGACAGAGGAGAGCATTTTGCACATCTGAATCTTAGGAAAAAAGAGGGTGATATCAAAAACTCTGAAGAATGGAGGAGAACAGATGTTTCTTCAGAGAAAGTGTATAAACAACATGGGTACAAGAAATAAGGTCTTAAGGGCATGTGTTTCCAGTTTGCATGGTATCAAACAGTTGGTACATCAAGGGATAATTCTTGAGCCACCCAGGCACCCCAATAATGACATTCTTACCACTCAAGGAGTTGAACAAAAAATACAGAGTCATACTGTTGTCAGTGGAAGCAGAACTAGAAAGATAAGCAAAGTGAGGCCAAAACAAAAAAAGCAGCCAACTGGCATCCATGGCAAAGCACAAGAACGAAGCTAAATTAATTCCTGCTGCTGAGAAACTAACAGTGTTGCCTGTGCTTTAGAGTTGCCACTTACAATCCCAGACAAACTTCCAGTTCCCAAACTCTGCTCCAGGTCCTTGAGGTTTAGCTGTGAGAATATTCCAGAGACTCCTTTCTCTACCTTTCACATGGGAGATTTAATTCCTGCTTTCAGGGGGACAGAGAAGGGCCTAAGTGTCCTTCTTACTCAGGCTGACTCTTAAGTAACTTTTATTTAAAACCAATATGCCAATGTGGTCCATCTTGGGGCAGCCTGTCATTGGCCTCTCTACAGGGGAGCAGAGTCATGACATTAACGACCACTATGTACTCAGCCAGGCTTAGCTCAGTCACAAGCACCCTAGGGGATAGAATCACCTCTCTGAATCTTATAAAATGTTGTAGATCTGAATATACTCCAGCAAATGAGCATATTTCCAGTGATATGAGCCCCTTCTTAATAAAAATAACCAGAAGAAAATCCAGCAAGGGTGTGTGTGTGTGTGTGTGAAATTTAGTCTACTAAATAATTGGAGATAAAGTTCATTCAACACACATATATAAACATCTATGTGTCAGGCTTTGCAACATACTGTCTTGTGAATAAGATACAGCCCCAGCCCTTAAGAAAAACATGGTCTATTGGAAGAGAAAGCCAAGTAAACCATAGAGTATGATACATTGAGTTGTAGAGATATATACAATATGCACATAGAAGAAGAAATCATCAGTTCTGTGTGAGAAGGAGAGGAGCCTTCACTAAAAAATTGAGCTGGAACATGATATAAGAATTAAGTAGGCTGACAATTCATAACCAATAAACAGCATGAATAAAAGCATGGAGACATGGAGATTCAAATGGTGTTCAGGGAATGAGAAGTGGCCTGCAGTAACCAGTGTATGGGGTAGGAAGGAGAAAGGCAGGAAAGGAGGCTTGTGGTCCAGGCATGTCCATGAAGGACCACAAATGCCTCACTAAGGATATTAGATCTTACCTTGCCTGAGGTTTCTAACCAAAAGAGAACATGATCAGACCTGAAGTTTTGAAAGTATCCTTGAATGAAAGAGGATGAAAGAATGAAGACCAGATTGACAGGTGATGGAATAAACCAGGGTGCAAAAAAGGTAGAGTCTGTACTAAAGAGAAGGAAAGTGAGCAGAAGGAGAGGTGGGGGGAGATGGTAAAGAAATTTCAGAGATAAAATTAGAGGACAGACAAATCAATAGACTTATCTAGAAGATGACCTTCTTAAACTGAAAGAGAGCAAAGTTTCAGACTGCCAAAGAGAATGTATAGTAATTTCAGCAGCAGATCATAAATCCCACAATTTGGGGATATAGTAGAATAGAAGAAGAGTCACCTTCTTTGCCAAACAGACCAATCCTTTTCCCATGTTGGAGATTGTCTACCCTTGCTTAATCATAGTAAACTGGGCAGAAAATCTTCTCTAGGAAATTGCAATAGATTAATTACATACCTCATTTGTCTCCACTGTTAGCACTACTCTTTCACTGAGTCCTTCTAAACACACTGGTTACTTAACAACTCAGTCAAGCAAACAACCCTTCCTCAAGCAGATATTCAATTCATTTATCATTTAACAAACATTTACTGAGCACCTACTATCTGCCAGGAATTATGCTAGGTCCTAGATATTCAATGGTGAACTAAATAATACAGATTCTTTCCCTAAATGAAAATTTAGTCTAATGGAAGAGTTAATTTGAATAGCATTTTCAATACAGTGGGTTAAAGTACAGTGAAGAGCAATATTTCTCCAACTTCCAATATGGAAGGTCTGAAGTAAGACCCGATATTGTGCATTTCTAACAATTTCCCAAGTGATGCTGATGTTGCTGGTCTAAGGACCAAACCCTGCATGGCATAGAATCATGTAACATGGTCTAGGGCATCTTCATCCAAAGCCATTTGAAGAGAAACTGGAAGGAGAATGAAACCTCTTGCATGTCCCACATTTCATAATTTGAGCAATGGCAATTAAGAACAGAAAAAGAAATAACAAGCACAATACATGTAGATCTGCAGAATTCTGATGGGATTGAAAGACAAAATCTGAGCTGATCTTTGAGCAAGTTGGGACAGAAGATAATGGGGATGAGAGTACCCATACTTGGGACCTCAAGCAGAA